GTGTGTGTGTGTGTGTGTGTGTGTGAAAACAATAATCCTCGCTTTACTAGTGTTGGGGAGTAACTAGTTACATGTAATTGTGTTACGTAATTTAATTACAAAATAAATGCAACTGTTACAGTTACTGAGAAAAAAAATGTAATTAAATTACAGTTACTTATGAAAATTGTAATGATTACAAAGGGGGTTACATCTGAATACTTGTATTAATATTTAATATTTCTTGTTATGATTTTAAATCTGTATTTAACCTCAGAACGATCTCAAAGTAAAAAGATGTGCTAAAGTCTGATTTTGTAGTGGCTGTTCTTTAAAATTAAATTATTATAATCTTAATTCAAGAAATGAAGGATTTTGAAAGTCTGACAGTAATCAGTGTTGAGTACTACTGTTTAAATGTTTGAACATGATTAACAGTTTAGAAATGTAGAAAAGTAATCAAATGTAATCAGTTACATTACTTTAATAAAGTAATTGATGTAACCTTCCTAGCACGGCTCTTATATATTTCTTGCTTAATCTAGGTGTTATTTTCCAAAAATGAAACGTGTAGAAGCGAGTATTTTGAAATGTAAGCTTTCTTTCAGTAGTAAATAACATAGCATAAGTAATTATTTTAATTTAACAGTGCATTCTATATATAAATTAAAAAGTAAGTATGTTGCAGTAAAATATAAACACAATAACCGTATAACAGTAATATTCACTGTAAGTATGGCTTGTGTTACTTGGTTGTAGTTCTATCATTGTTTCACTAACATATGTTTCATACATTTATGTTGGGTAGTCATCGCGCGTAATTTTTAAGAAACATAAAAAGTTAGCAGAGGATGGTTTCGATCCATCGACCTCTGGGTTATGGGCCCAGCACGCTTCCGCTGCGCCACTCTGCTCTCGGTACAGCCGGCTGAATATCACAGCTCATAAACATCACATGCCTCCGGTACACAAGCGATATTAGCTGTCAGGTTACGGAGCCACTATTATAATTATGACAATACTTATATTATAATGGTGACTCGTATTATATATATATATTACATTTTTATATGTTACATCATTATATGTTACATATTCATGAGTCCGCTTCTTCTATCGCTACATCCGGGCTATTCGATCCTGAGCAGCGCCCTCTACCAGCCGTGTCTCTGAAAGAACATTTTTTTATATATATATATATATATATATATATATATATATACATACACACACTGCTGTTAAAAAGTTTGGGATCAGTAATATTTTTTATGTTTTTTAAATAAGTCTCTTTAATTTATTTAATTAATTTTAAAAAATCTAGATTTAGAAATCTTTTCTAATAATATTATTTATCTATAACTTCATTTATCACTTTTTATCAATTTAACACATCCTTGCTGAATAAAAGCATTTATTTAAAAAAATAAAAAAATAAAAAAATACTGACCTCAAACTTTTGAACATTTTAAAACACATTACAAATCTTACTGATCCCAAACTTTTGAACGGCAGTGTATAGGCCTATATCTATAGAAATATGAAACAAAAAGCAAATTAATATTTGATTAACTAATCCTATCCATGCAACAGTTTTCTGTTCTCCTCTACTGTGATATTTACGGTTGTGTATGTCTGTGGACGCAATGGAACACTAGCATACTACATAGCGGACAGTATAGTATACAGTGTATTTACTTGAAGTAAAATATTACGTGAACCTGTGCATGATAACGATAAACGTTGCTAAGATGAGGGCTATTAACATAGTACTCACTGCGCACTAAAAAAAAAATCACATACGCTCAAAGCGTAGATACTGCAGAAGTAGTACGAGTATTACGGTAGTATGGTATTGCGCACACAGCGGTGTTCTCATGTGATGAAAACACGGAAAACGGAAGAGACTTTCGTGCTCTCGGGGTGAGAAAATAATCACCAAATATTAGCAAAAAATGCATGATATAATTCTCACACAGCGTTCGTGTCATCTAAATCTTATTCGTAATCTATAATTGTTGCATTTACGTGATTAATCTAATGTAAGACGTACCAATGCAATGTTTTGATTGAAGTGTTTTTGAATCAGAATTAGCTTTATTTGCCAGGTGTGCGCAAACACACGAGGAATTTGTTGTGGTTTTTTAAGGTGCGTTCAGTGCTGCATATTCCTCGGTTTCTTCATTCAGATCTCACGATAACAAACCGCTTAGGCTGTTTAATTAGCTTTCGGTTTGGTGTCATAAACACCCGTACAGATGTCCGAACCGCACGATTCGGTCTCACTTCTGCTTTTATGTCTCTTTTAAGGGATTTTATTTTGGTTCCGCTCAAAAAGGCTGAAAGAATCAGGCGCTGATGCGGGAAATTCCCACAGGTCTGTGACGTCACGGCGAAACAATGTATCAATCCCGCACAGTGTTTCCGACTCCGCGGTTTTCCCGGGAAATTGGGCTACTTTAACACTGTGGCCGCGGGTTGTTTAAGCGACCACGATAACGTGATATTTAGCCTCTGGAATGCGACTTTTAACAGGGGAACCCCGCCAAAAACGTGTATTTTACGTGTATTTAGGCTGTTTTGAGTAGCAGTTGGGCGGGTTTCGTTGTGAAAACCTGGCAACCCTGATCCCGCAGCTGATTTCACAATATCCTCATTACAGCGTTAAACACGCACGTTATCGTCATATTAACTGCGATTACAGGTGTGCTTTGTCAGTTTGGCGTAAATGTCATTGCTGTTCGGGAAACCGAAAGCTAAAGCGTTACGAAACGGATCAGCTGGGCTGCCATAGTATCAGATGGTACTATCTGAAAATATGCTATAGTACTATAGTATAACTCATGGCTATGTGGTGAAGTTCTACCGTGGTACATGTGCATTATGGTGTATTGCCAGTGTTGATGCTGTTTGATTTGTGTTTCCAGAATCTGGTGATCCTCATGAATATGTAATAATGTATGCTAATGTGTTTCCAGGTGAATCTAGAGTCATCATGCAGAGTACAGCGAACTACCTGTGGATGATGTCTGACCTGCTGGGTCAGGGAGCCACAGCCAACGTTTACCGCGGTAGACACAAGGTATCCGTGAGTTACACTGTCTATACTTCATTTGCTTTGTGTTGTAAACCACAGCTACAGTGTCCCTACAGTCTGGATCTCACACACATGATTCAGTGACAGTGAATCTTTCGAAAGATTCGTTTACATTTCACACAGCTGGCGTTTACTCCAATCTCGCTGTGTGTCTGCAGAAAACCGGCGATCTCTATGCGGTCAAAGTGTTCAATAACCTGAGCTTCCTGCGTCCGCTGGACGTCCAGATGAGGGAGTTCGAGGTGCTGAAAAAACTCAACCACAAAAACATCGTGAAGCTCTTCGCCGTTGAGGAGGAGGTGAGACCCACTCAGTCTTAAAACGATTTTAGCAGCTCTTATTTCAAATGTAGCTTCCCCAAAAAAGACAATGTCCTCACTCTCACAGCAGATGCACTTTTTCACTGGAGGAAGTGTTATTATGGATTATGGACTCGTGTTTTAGTTAAAAATGTCTTGATGATGGATTAGTTTCAGCTTTTGTCTTCTCCAGATGTTAACTGATGGACTGGAGTGGTGTGGATTATTGTGATGTTTTTATCAGCTCTCATTCTGACGGCACCCATTCACTGCAGAGCATCCATCGCTGAGACACTGATGGAAAAAAATCCGATGCAGAATCAAACTTGGGTGAACTGTTCCTTTAAAAAGACCTTTCAGCTCATAGAATAATATCAGTTTAGTTTCTGTTGCTTCATGATGTTTTTTTTTGTTGCTGAAGTTCTGTAAACTCTTCCCTGTTTTACTTTCACAAACGCACACCTGTAATACCCGTTTGCTCCTGACTACGAACGTCAAAGGTCACTGTTTTGTGTTTTTTGTCATTCAGAAATATGACGATCATTTGTTGAATGTTTATGTTGTGTGTCAGTCAAACACGCGTCACAAGGTGTTGGTGATGGAGTATTGTCCGTGCGGAAGTCTCTACACGGTTCTCGAGGAGCCGACGAACGCTTACGGACTCCCGGAGGACGAGTTCCTCATCGTTCTGCAGGATGTCGGTAAGTTTATTCAGTGGAAAAGGTTCATTAGATTGTTAAAAATGTCCTTCAGACTAAGGGGCCGTTCACACAGAAAGCGTTTTTCCATTCTGATGCACTGTTTTAAAACACTGTAAACACTGTTTTATTTGAGTGCAGCATGGCGGAGAGGCGTTCTGTGCTGTGCTTTTTAACCCTTAAATGCACGAATGTTTCGCTCTCTTGATATTTTAAGAACAATTACAGAAGAATAAAATAAAGCATATTTCGTTACCTTTTGAAACTTAAAAGGGTTTGAAACTTAAAAGAAAACTATCGTTTTCAATGACTTCATATTAGGTTTTTGACAAAAAATTAATCAGAAAACTGGCATTCTTTTACATTTTACAATTTTTTCTTGTTATATTGTGTATAATTAATAGATTGAGGAATACTAAGTTGATGTCTAACTTAAAAAAATGAAGGAGGGAGAGGGTAGAGAATGATGTCTGAATGAGAATGAGGTCGCTAAAGGTATGCATTTAAAGGTTAAAAACAATTCCTGATCATGTTTTTTAGCGCGTTCTGTGTGAACAGTTCTCTGGTGAAAAGCCCTTTTGGAAGCTTTATCTCAGAGAGTTTCTCAGTGCTGATGTTTGTGACAGTGGCGGGAATGAATCATCTGAGAGAGTACGGGATCGTCCATCGAGACATCAAGCCCGGGAACATCATGCGTGTGATCGGAGAAGACGGACGATCTGTCTACAAACTGACCGACTTCGGAGCCGCGCGTGAGCTGGAGGACGACGAGCAGTTCGTGTCGCTTTACGGCACAGAGGAGTATCTGGTGAGTGGAGGATGATGGGAAAAGTGTCCGTGTTTCGCGTTCCTCGCTGATCTCTCGGTGTGTTTGCAGCATCCTGACATGTACGAGCGAGCCGTGCTGAGGAAAGACCACCAGAAGAAATACGGAGCCACGGTGGATCTGTGGAGCATCGGAGTCACGTTTTATCACGCCGCCACCGGCAGCCTGCCGTTCAGACCGTTCGAAGGGCCGCGCAGGAACAAAGAAGTCATGTGGGTGCCGTCAAACGTTTACGTTTAACTAGTCAACTTAAAAACGTAACTAGTAAAATAATGCAATAAGCCCCAAGAAGCCGTGGTTTACAGTGAATTTATAACAGCTAAGGGGCATTGTTAGGCACTCCGCTAAAACCCCCTTAGCTGTTATAAATTCACTGTAAACCATGGCTTCACGGGGCTTATTGCTTTTATAAAACGGTTATTCCATATACGTAGTAAGGTTTCACAAAATAAAACCGAGCAAATAAAGTGTAATGATATTAATAAAAACAGTATTCTTCCACCAAACAATGTAGCTCCTCAGAAACAGTTGTGGTTGCAACAAAGTGGTTGCCGAGCAACACACAAACGTAAACAAAGGTGTATGTTACTTTGTAGAGTCATTTACAACAGCTTCGAACGCGGCTCAGCCAATCAGAATCAAGGACCGGAACTCTCCGTTTTATAATTCTCTTTATTAACCATCTGGTTAAATAAAGTTCTATTCCAAGTGCAGCACATATAAAGTTCAGCATGGTGTAAACGTAAAGCAAATGACTTGTATGTGAAATATGAAGGCAAATATTATACATATCCTATATAATAAAAAAAAAAGAAAAGCTAAATATTTCTTAGCCGAAATATACACATTCAGTTTCAGAGTTCGACTCAAATGACTTGTATGTGAAATATGAAGGCAAATATTATACATATCCTATATAAAAAATAAAAAAAAAAGCTAAATATTTCTTAGCCGAAATGTACACATTCAGTTTCAGAGTTCGACTCAACAAGTCAAGACAATTCACATTCAGAATGACTAAAATTAGACCAGAATCAAGTCAGATTATTGGTTCACATTCCCCCGGTTTCAGGCTTAAGCCTAATCCCAGACTAAAATGTAAATCTGAGCTGTTTCAACTGAAAGAAACTTGCACTGACTGATCTTAAAATATCTCAGTGCCTTGGTTTTGTCTCAAGATGCACACCAGTAATGTTTTTTTCTAAGGCACGTTTATAAAAACTACTTAAATGTCCTAATTGACCTATTGCCTAATCCTGGTTTAACCTAAACCCTCTCTATGAAACCAGGCCATTATGTAATAGTTTGCATGACATACGTAGGTGCTGTCAGCAAAAATGGAAAATCATTTCACTTAAAGCTTATAAAGTAAACAGTAGATTTTGCTGGCTATTTAAAAAAAAAAAACTCTGTCTCATTTAATACACAATAACCATGTGTATGCACGAATTTGTGCATTAAATCTGCATATGAATGTTATAATTGATTCTAAATTATTTCCCTCCTAACGCACTAACAATGAGGTGTTATATTTATTTAGGGGGCGCTGTAGGCCTACTTGTAATAAAATGAAAAGTAAACTACAAAAATAGAATTAAGATTGTGTTTCTGAATAAATAAAGCAGTAATTGGTGTCATAAAATCACAAGTCTGTTTTGTTATAAAGGTGAATGAATCACAATCATGACACTAGTAAATGAAATAATTTTATACATACAGATTTATTCATTAATGTGTAATATATTTTTTTCAAACGGATTATTTTTAGAATTTTCACAGCTCTTTTGCGTTAGACCATCTATTAATGTTAAATCCACAAATAAAATGTTAAGGTTTCAACTGCATGTGTCTGGAGGAAAAAAGATTTCAATGTACTCTCATTATGAAATAAATTTGATATTGTTTATTTAGTTGTAACAAGTAAGTTTTTGCGCAAAACTAACCAAAATTAAAAATAATTGTTTATAATCGCTGCACAGGAGAGACTTGGTGTTGTTTCCAAACAAAAGGAAATATATATCGGTATTGGCATCGGCTATCGGCAAAAATGAGTTGAAAAATATCGGCATATCGGCAAAAATCCAACATCGTGCATCCCTATAAATTATATGTATATATATATATATAGAATAGCAATTCAATGACAGACAGTATAACACATGTGACCCTGGAGCACAAAAGCAGTCTTAAGTCGCTGGGGTATATTTGTAGCAATAGCCAACAATACATTGTATGGGTCAAAATTATCGATTTTTCTTTTATGCCAAAAATCATTAGGATATTAAGTAAAGATCATGTTCCATTAAGATATTTTGTAAATTTCCTACTGTAAATATATAAAAACTTAATTTTTGATTAGTAATATACATTGCTAAGAACTT